TGATAGTACAGTGGGTGCATCATCAGCAATAGAAAATAAACTATGATATACAAGCCAGAATAACACATCATTTATTTATCAATGATATACATTACTCTACTAAATAAATATGAAAAACAAGTATTATTCAGGCTACAATCAGAATCAAATCATGCAATGATATAGGATGATGATATTCAGACATTTGGAAGAGACAAATAATGAATGTGTATTAAGAACCCTCTTAACTTGAAGGCATAACAATCCTCAGCAGACCAGCAACAATAATGTTATCAACTATCTTCCTCAATTGAGAGCGTTAGGCCAAAGCTAGAAATGCTAAAAGCAAAAAAAAAGGTAAGTCAATTCTGAAACAAATTACAAAATAACCAAATATTATCAACTATCCTCCTCAATAGAGAGTGTTAGGCCAAAGTTACAACTGCTAAGTTTGATGTTGATTTTTAGTTTTTTAATTTTTTTGATATTGTGTGATTTTTATTACATTGTGTTGATTTTTTCGTTCTGAGTTATGTTTGAATTAGAGTATTATAAGGAGTTTTACATGATATACTGAACAAACCAAATATGTTCCAATAAATAGTATCAAAGTGAAATAGGTAAGAAAATTTAAGGTATTAAAGTGTTAAAAGTACATTAGGTGTACCAAATTGATAAAAATGGGCAAATTTTAGGGTACCAAAGTGAATAAATACCCTTTTTTTTATTTCCACACAACGTGAGTACAACTTCATCATATATGATAGGCTTGTGTCACTTTAGCAAGTCTTCACCTAATCTATGGATCTAATAAGGCTTTTAGAAGAAACATGTTAATTTCTGCGTGACCTATATCTTTCAGGAAAGTCCCTTCTATAATACTTTCTCAAATATATTAGTCTACCAGTCTGATTAAATTTTACTAAAATAATATTAGGCCATTGTAATATTGCTCACAAACTTTATCATTTCCTACTTACATCCTAACATTAATCATATAAATTACACATTGAAACCAGAATACATCCCACTATCCCTCAAAAGCCTTTTCTCCTCCTCCACATAGTTCTTCCCCTTGCTCGCTTGCCAAAGATCCCTCTTCCTCTTCTCCTTCTGCGAAAACAACTTGCTCTTCTCTTTCTTCTCAAAGAAATAATATTTACTACAATACCCGTGACATTTTATTAAAACTCTAGTTTTTGAAGTTTTAGCAAAGGATACAAAAGGGATATTACTAATATACGTGAGCATATCAACAAACAACTTGTATGCATGGGTTCAACTATTTCTAGTAAGAAAAATGTTGATAATAGGGAACAACATCAAAGAAAGGTATGAATCAAGAAAAAGAGGATATAAGCAAAGAAATTTTAAAATCAAAATCAAAGTTAAAATTTTGCACAACTCATATCCATTTTTATTTTTTATTTTTTTTGATAATCACCTTACTGAATTTGTTTCCTTCCGGATGCACTAAAATTTGAGATTTGAAGAGATAATGGAAGAGAGGGCATAATATTTTTCTAAAAACTTGATTTGGGGTTGCATCTAAGATGATAAGGATAATAATAATAATAACCATTATTATAAATTAATTTCCCATTGATGAAGATAGAGAGAGTGGGGATGCATCAAAGAATTTGAATAGTAACCGAAGGAGAGAGAGAAGAGCGAAGGTTTGAGACTTTTGAGTTTCTGATTTATGTGTACAAACTTGATTATGTTTTCAACTATTTCCATGAAACGGAAAATGATGAAGAGACTCCAATTAAAGTTATATTTTATCTACAATATAGTCATATTTATTTATTATTATTCTTTGTTGTTTTCCTATATCTGATGAAAGATTCCAGTAAACAACTTCTTCACCCTTGCATTGATGAGTACCTGAACACCATCATCAATGCTACATGCATAGCTTCGATCAATGCCATGACCTACAATCTCATAATTTTTTAAGAGATCAGAGGTTAAAACTAAAATAGATAGGTCTTGTCCTACATTCCTTTACTTTATACACCAACTTATCGATTAAATTATTCATTAATTTAGACCCGAGGAGAGTTGAGAAGCCTGATCGTGAATTTGTTTGAGAGAAGATCAATTATAAGATTAATTAGTTGGAATTTCTTTTTAATAAATAATTAATTGGAAGTTTAAGGGGTTAAGTATGGGAACTTCTCACAAATCTTAGTTTCAATCTTCAAATAACCTTACTTCTCAAAATATTCATCTCTGGTTCAAACTATAAAAATTTTCTCAAGAATGAGCATATAATTTAATTCACGTGATGAAGTAAAAGAAGATGAAATTATTCAGACACAACATACATAAAACTGTGTAATCTCTCCTCATTTACAGATCCTAAAAATTTTCCTAAAGTACCCAAAAATCACATGAGATTAAATTAAGTGACAAAATAAAGTCGACTAATATTTATCATGATGGATCAAGAGAAGGTAGAATTATATAAACTTGATATGTACTATATCAAAATTCCTCATCATTTGTAGTTTCTAAAAGGCAAAAAAAAAAGGAATTAGAAGCAAGTGAAATAACAATTTTATCTAAAGATTATATACTATCTACTTCTTTTCATCATATGCTTAGAATATTTATAGCTACAAATAAAGACTATCAGAATTCATTACTAATTTTTGAACCATAAAAGAGTGACTCTTGGATACTATTACAAAATAACTGAATGACACATAAAAATTAATAACAAAATGTAACTCCTATTGCATTTAGTATATGTTATTAGACATTAAAGTCATGCAGACATTAAAGTCATGTTAATCCACATCCATAACAATGTGCTTTGAGTTATAACAAACGTACCATTCAAAGTTATAGTATAGTTTATAAAATATATTATAGTATAGTTACATATAGATATATTAAAATATATTTTAGTATACATTCTTTATTTATGTATAATACACTATAGATATAAAGTTTAGTATAATATAAAGATATCAAATTATGGCAATTATTTAGATCATACATTAATTTTAAGTGTACATGTTTATTTGATTATAATTATAATTATAGTATAATGTATAATATAATATAGATATAAAGTTTATTATATATCAATACCTAAACTTCAGTATAAACTTTTTATACTGTAGTTTAAAACTATATATCTAACTATACTAAATATAAGATTGGATGTTATGTGAAATTTTTGAAGGGATATAGTTTATGTATGTATGCATGTATATACACTTGTTGTCCTTTTATTGGGATCTTCAGTGAACCATAGAGAATATGTAGCACAAAATTTTATATGAAACACATCAACATAATTAGAACTACACATCCTAAAGCAAATGATACATGACAAAAAAATTTAACATTAAATGATAGACTCGGTGACTATCGCACACAAAAAGTCTCTCTTTTTGTGGAATTATATTTTTTCCTAAATCTTTTTGCCTCAATTTACCCCAATATATAAGATGGAAAAGAAACAAAGAGATGTGGATACGAATGAGTTTCTCCTATCACGACAACACACACCACACTGAAACTTCAATTTAGATAAAATAAATGTATTTATCCATGCACAGAAGTACTAAAAAATACGAATGGGCGGAACTCATGTTCCAACTTCATCATGAGCTCCTCTGACACCCTCCTTCTCTACCGAAACCTTCATCATCACCTCCAAATCCACATCCCCTTCATCGATCAAATTACATGCCACTACTTCCTTTGTTAGACCCACCATCTTCATCGAATCAAACACAATTGCTCATCGAACCTAGCTCCTCTGCCTCCTCTGACATCATCTCCGACCCATACTACAGAAATTGCTAAGATAGCTCCAACCACCTTCACCAAATTCACCTCACCGCTAATGCCGAGATTGCCTCAATGGCAGAAGTGGGTCTTTTAGTATTTGAACTCCCCGTCTTCCTTCAATTTTCTTGCATTGGCAGAGAAAAGAAGAGTAGTAGAGGGAAAAAGTAGAACTTGAACACTTTAATCATTTGATTTGACCTAGTATTTGTTATGTAAAGTGGTAGATGAGGGACTTGGGAATGAGACTATATAGGAAGTGAAATAAAACACATGGAAGTTGGAGGGGTTCATGATAATTTGTTTGAGATATCAAGATGAGCTCACTTGTCAAAGGTATTAATGTACGAAAAGAAGCTTTCACTACAAGAAATTACATCTTTAACGAAGGGATTCCCCTTCGTTAAAGAGCTGAAAACCTTTGTTATTGTATGCTAACGACGGGGGAAAATCCCTTCGTCACCCGTCGTTGAAGCCCTCTTCGCTAAAGGGTCATGAAGGGATATACTACCCGTCGTTATAGAGTCTATAACGACGGAACATATTACCGTCATTAATATTTACGACGGTAATTATCACCGTCGTTACCATCAGTGACGGAGATATTTTCCCGTCGTTAACATCAGTGACGGGATATTTTCCCGTCGTTACCATTAGTTACGGGGATATTTTTCCGTCGTTACCATTAGTTACGGGGATATTTTCCCATCGTTGAAGACTAATTAATGACGGTTTGATATCGTCGTAAAAGTCCTCATAATGGATAATTAGTAACCATCAACGATAGTGTTTTTCCTTCGTTGATGAACAAAATACGATTTATAAAACCGTCATTGTAGACTACAAATTTTTAATTTACATTAATAATAATTTTTTCATTCATAGGCAACTATCATATTATTCTCAACCTGACACTAAGATTCACAACAAAAATATATTAAAAATACCTAATAATGAATAAGAGGGAAAATAAAATTTTCATTCATTAATAACATCAATAAATAAAATTCCACCATCCTCAAATATTCAATACTAATAATAAGAGTAAATAAAATTCCACCATCCTCAAATATTCAATACTAATAATAAGAGTTAATATCCTAATTGTTTCAAAGAAAAATACATGAAACTATCTAAAACAAATTAAAATAAAAGTTTGGGAAGACATATTCTTTCATCTCTAATCATCGTCAAAAGAAGACTCGAGCTACCCCCATCCTAATCTTGCATGGATAGCCTGAAAAATTTAAAAAAATCACATAATTAAAAACTATCAAATAAGCAAATATTATCTTATTAAATAAAAATCATATTTTTAGTGCAAGTAGTCAATCATAAAAGTATATAAGAGATTTTATAAAAAAATAATTACCTAATCCTGCACACGTTCTCGAGTTTGAGGAGTCAATGAAGGTGATTGCCTAAAAAAAAGTTCTTGCATAGCTTTCGCTTGTGACTCCAACTCAAACATCCTTTGTTGTTGTTGCTCCTGCTCATCTAGCCGTTGTTGAAGCATCTGGTTCTTTCTCTTTTTTTCTATAACCTGTGCTTCCAGATCAGATCGACTAGGGAGTGGTCCTCTCAAATCTTTCAAAGTTGTCCCGCCATCAAATATAGTGATGTGACCATGAGATTGCTTCCCTCAGATTTTCTCAACTATCTCAATGTCAAAAAGTGAAGGGTTTGTTTGTTTGATTTGAATAATTTCATCCTATAAAAATTAAATTTATATGTTAGTACTATATAATGCATCATTATCAAACTTAAACACATATTATACTTACATATTTATCTTGATCCCCAGTATCTAGTGTTTCATTAGCTTTCTTTCAAGTTTCATGAAACATTTTTGCCACATCAGGTGGATTTCCTGACTTGCCACATTAAGTGGTTCACAGGCATAAAGAGTTTAGACAACAGTAAAGTGATTTACAACATAATAGGATAAAATAATTATTTGATGTAACTTCCAATGGACATTCAAATGTAATAAGTAATAAAACAAAATAAACACAAGATAAAAATAATGAAATATTCCATTCTTGAGGTATAAAAATGACTACATTCACCTGACAGCCTCAAAGGTCCCGGTTATTTGGCTTACTATCCTAAACATCTTTCGTCCATATTTTTCAAATTCCTGCCAGTAAATCACAAACGGTTTCGGTAGAGTTTACATATTAGTTACAAGAAAATTTGAAGGAAATGAAATAAGGCTGTCAAAATTAAACAAATGCAAAAACATATCAAACGCATTGCCAGTGTTGATGGTCACATTAAGGAGATAAGTAAATTTTTTTCTTTTAAGGCCACATTCTTTTTAAAGTTATCTATTAACAGATTGCACTTGGCCCAAAATTACCTAAGATCAAGAAAGTCCAACTTCACTAAAGTTAGTTCTGGCAAAAGATAATGTTGTTTCAGGAGAAAATATGCATCGAAAGTGAGAGATAACCTTCTGAGGTATACTAGGAATCTCTTAGTCTGTTTGCCTCTGACTTAAGTGCAGCGTCTGCAGCCATAACTTTAATCCCTGCCATAAAGAAGTAGAAGAATATTTAGCTTACTTACGAAAGACAGTCAACAAAGAGGTGAAATAACAAGATTTGTAAAAGGGCCTACAGTGGAGAGATAAAGAGAACAAAGAGCTAAATAACTCCAGCTCCAAATCTATTGACTGACAAATTTGTCATGACAAACATAATCATATGACCCAACAGTGGAGAGATATTAATACAAATATCAAAAGCTAATAATACCTGATTCATCATAATCATATGACCCAACAGTGGAGAGATATTAATACAAATATCAAAAGCTAATAATACCTGATTCATCAGAAGATGAACTTCCTTCCTTTCTTTCTCTTGCATTTTGTGCACTACTACCGACCTTATTCTGAGCTGCCTTTTCTGCAGCTTCTGCAGCATCTCTCTCAGCTTCCTTTCTTGCAGCTTCTTCAGCCTCCTTTTTTGCAGTATCGAGAGCTAATCTTCGTTCTTCTGCTAATTTTGTAGCTTTTTCTCTCGCCTGTATCAAAATTTGGCATTCAATAAAAGATTCTCAGAGCTACTTTAATCTAGAAAAACATCAGTGATAGTTTGTTTGGACAATGGCCTACGATTAAAAAAACAACCTCATGTTATTTGCATTGGTGAATGTCACCATGATGCATTAGGTAGCGAACATTGCAGTAACTATTTTCTTGTTATGCACTAGTTAAGAATTAAATATGCTGGCATCATAAAACCAATGCAAAAAAAACAAAAAAAAACAAAAAAACAAAACAAACAAAAAACAGTATAAGCACAATGAATATATATTGCTAAGTGTTGGACCCTAGAGGGGGGTGATTAGGGTTAAGAGGCTCTAATATGCAATAAAAATTAAATATAGGCAAACCACAAAGCAGAAATACAATCAAAGTAAGAGAGATAGAGTTAGGAATCGTTATCCTTGGCGCGCGATGTGTTAACGAGGTTCGGCCCGCTGACCTACGTCCCCGCTCCCCACTCTCGAGGAGAAATCCACTACACACCCGGTTTGGAAGCCGGAACTTCGTCTACACAGTGATCTCACACGATCTCTCACTACACAGTTTGATCTCAACAGATCACACTCCCTCACAGTTGATCTACACAAGATCTCACTCACACAGCAGAAGAAAAGATGCAAGACTCTCTTTACACAGCCCCTATGGCAAAGAGAAGAATTACTGAAGCTTGGAAGTGAACACACACAAAAACCACAGAGAAAAACAGATTTGAAAATTCTCTCAGGAAGACAGCAGTCTCTCTGGTTTTTGCAAACGTTAGGGAAACGGAAGAAGAAGAAGTCTGGGGTTTAAATAGAGGAAATTTAATTAATTTAAAAACAAAACCCAATCTTCTCAAATAGGAAAATAATCTCCTTTTCAGACCCTTATCTCAGACTGTGCCAAACACCATTAAGTGAAAGCACAGTGTTCTAGGCAAATGACCGTTTTAAAAAAGTCACAGCTGACCGAAGAGAATTTCGGTTGACCAAAGGAAATTTCGGTCGACCGAAAAAATGCTTCGGTCGACCGACCGAAAATTCGGTCGACCGCGAACAACGTTGAAAACTTGGAAAAACAAGCAGAGCCATCCTCGGTCGACCGGCGCGGTCGACCGATAGAAAAATCGAGATTTCAGTCGACCACACCGGTCGACCGACGACCTCTCTGGAAAAACACTGGCAAATGATCATGGGAGCGGTCGACCGGTCCGGTCGACCGCTTTCTGATATAAAACACTGGCAAATGATCATGGGAGCGGTCGACCGGTCCGGTCGACCGCTTTCTGATATATTGCTGAAATTGATTTTTGACTCAACTTAAAATATTTGTAAAATATTTATTTGACCTCTGAAAATTATAAAACTTTGTAAAATATTTTTAATACTAAAAACAAACTGTTTGGAAAAAGAATTTTGCAGATAGGTCCTCATACTTGTGATAAATAGTATTTTGTGAAAAACACTTAAAAACATAAGTATGAAAAAAAACGTGTGTGTGATTCCCAATAGCTTCAAGTAAGATCAGTAACCCTTTGCCTACATTCTAGCACTAGAGAAAAAATAAAAAACTAGCTAATATCCTCACATAGAATAAAGTTCTGGAGTCTTGATATAGCTTTAATTTTGATGAAGCTTCTATATGAATTTGTTGTTCTTGAAATAGCATTGCTTCATCAGTATGCCTCCTCCTCCTTTGGATATCATCGTTGTAGCATATATTCCATCCATCCTCCATAAATGGCACTAACAAGCTTGATAAATGAATTTACTACATTTGTACTCAATAAGCCATTAGTACCGTTAATGGTGGTTGTAAAACATCATCAAAACATAAGGGCTAACACTAAGGATATGGTGTTTAAAAAAACCGAATGGAGAAAATGATACATACAGCAGAGCGCAAAGGTGTGAGGTAAAGGCTATGTATTAGTTAATTAAATGTTCAACCTCATGTTATTTGCGTTGGTGAATGTCACAATGTAGCATTAGGTGGCAAACGTTGCAGTAATTATTTTCTTGTTATTCATTAGTTAGGAGTTAAATGCGTTGGCACCATAAAACCAATGTGAAAAATAAAACAAATACAGTAGAAGCACAATGAATATATAGAGCTGAGGGAAATTTGTTTGAAAAACCGAATGGATAAAATGATACATATAGCATAGCACAAAAGTGTGAGATAAAGGTTATGTTGTTGTAGATAAAATATCACCTTGTAAGCAACAAAAAAAAAGAAAAAGAAAAAAAAGAATTAAAAAGTAATTTTAAAAAAAGATGGATAACATACAGTTACCATATTACCTTCAAAATTCGGTGCATTACTGAATCAGAAACTTCCTAGGATTATTATCCAAATTGCTACTCATTTTATTTATGCATGAAATAAGGCCCTAGTTTCTTTATTAGTTTCAATCTGTCATCAATAGCTAGCATATAATACAGAAGTGCTTGCTTCTATTTATACTTTTCCATGCATAAACTATATGAAACTGACCTCTGCTTTGGCCTTAGCCTTTTCTCGCCTCACTTCTTCCTCATATATGGCTTTTTCTTTCTGTTTGGCTTCTTCAATAGCTACATCGTCCTTTATTCTTTGCTCCTCAATCAGGGATCTCTTTTCATGATCCCTTTGGATAGCAGAGAGGTGGCTATCAAGTACTTCAGCACTAATAAAGCAAGACAAAAGCAGGATGTCAATAAGACTTCCAACTTTGGAAAATTCTTATTTGCACTTTAAACCATAGAAAACAGACTGCTAGAGGATAGAACAGTCAAACTTAAAGGCACAATTCAGAACACAAAAAGAACAGAGAATGGAAGTTATAATGTTAAAAGCACAAAAATAAGGAGCTATCCAATTTTACCATCAAGGAAAAGATCAACACAATCAGAGGTGGCAAACCCCATAAACATGTTATTTGTCTAATTCATCAAGCCTGATTAGTAGTGAAGTCATGTTTTTCCAGGGTTGGAAGATAACTCATAATGAATTCCTAGATAAAATCACATCGTGTGGCCTAAGAAGTAAATTATATCATGCCAAATATTTTAGTTAACAATCAATAACCTAAAAAATTACGACCCCTTCCCAAAATAAACTAGCCAATGCAATGCGCATGAAACTAATAGCTTGGAAATTAATCATATATATAATAACAAAAAAACCAATAGTCAACAAGAAAAATCATATTATACCGAAAATCTAATCAATTAATATCTTCTCTCATGACAAAAGCAAGCCAATTCTTCATGCAACCCAAAATTAAGATCAAAATACATTATCAAAGATGACTTCACCTCTTATCTGCACACAATTCGTCCGCACCAAACTCAACCCAACTCAACTCAGTTCACCTCTTATCAAAGATGACTTCACCACCTGCATGTTCCAAGAAGAAAAAAATTCCAGTGAAACAATCCATTAAACTCTGATCTCTAAAAACTCAAAGTCAAAACAAAGGAAATTTTACCAATAAAACAGAACACTAGCCATTTCCATACGCCAAATTTCACCAAGATCAAATCTTTTCGGTTTTCC